TTCCACGCCCGACATCTAGATACAAGAAACTACGGAGCAGAACACCTGGACGCCCTGGACTTCCACGCCCGACATCTAGATACAAGAAACTACGGAGCAGAACACCTGGACGCCCTGGACTTCCACGCCCGACATCTAGATACAAGAAACTACGGAGCAGAACACCTGGACGCCCTGGACTTCCACGCCCGACATCTAGATACAAGAAACTACGGAGCAGAACACCTGGACGCCCTGGACTTCCACGCCCGACATCTAGATACAAGAAACTACGGAGCAGAACACCTGGACGCCCTGGACTTCCACGCCCGACATCTAGATACAAGAAACTACGGAGCAGAACACCTGGACGCCCTGGACTTCCACGCCCGACATCTAGATACAAGAAACTACGGAGCAGAACACCTGGACGCCCTGGACTTCCACGCCCGACATCTAGATACAAGAAACTACGGAGCAGAACACCTGGACGCCCTGGACTTCCACGCCCGACATCTAGATACAAGAAACTACGGAGCAGAACACCTGGACGCCCTGGACTTCCACGCCCGACATCTAGATACAAGAAACTACGGAGCAGAACACCTGGACACCCTGGACTTCCCCGCCCGACACCTATATACAGGAAACTACGGAGCGGAACACTTGGACACCCTGGACTTCCACATCCGACACCTAGTTGCAGAAAACTACGGAGAGGAGCATCTGGAAATCCCATATCTCTAAAAATTGTCATCTAAAATACGAGGAACTATGTTAAAGCACACACATACACACATACGTATACGCATACACACGCGCTCCACATGAAAGCCTTAATAATTCTATACTATTGTGAAAGTAGCCTTATGTCAACTGGAAATTCGGTGTGAACGGTAGCTTCAGGTACAAAGTGTATTTGATTTTGTTGTGTATTCGTAAATTACCAACACCATCCAGAGTACAAATAGGTAAAGAAGGCAAAGCAGTCGGCGCCATCTGTCGTGTAAAAAATGCGATGGATGTGCGAAGACGATCGACGACGACGACGACGACGACGACGACGACGACGACGACGACGACGACGACGACGACGACGACGACGACGACGACGACGACGACGACGACGACGACGACGACGACGACGCAACTGAAATAAAATCATCTCGCTCGCCATTTCAATACGCCCTGATCTCGTACACTAATCGTATTAAACTTGGTGGCAATCGCTTCAGAACCTTCAATTCCTATAGTGAATGTATCAATAACTTTTCCTCATATATAGCGGTTCATAAGATATTTCGTTCCAAACACAGGTATAAGGAGTTGACTCGAGTAAAGAGTCTCGGCGCGCTGCGCCTTGTACAGCCGGTTGCCTGTACTTGGCGCGAGACTCGACCGAGTCTCTTGAAATGACTGGTGCATGTTTCTATGAAGAAATTCTGTGATGAAATGACATTGGGGTAGCTATAACAATTATTGATGGGTACTGCAATGTTTTATCGACACAGAAATATGATTTCGGGATAATCATGAGACCGATGCAGTACATATAGCGGCCCGTACGTCGATTATGCGCAGTATTTATTTAAGACACGGGCGCAGCGTTGCGGGCCACCGCGGAATACAATGCATTTTTCCGAGATTTTTACGAGCTCTTACTTTGTAAGTGCACGAGGCACGAACAGTCTTTTTTTGTCATTTTTTAAGAGTGAATAATGACTAGAAGCCTCAAAAAGCATTTTTTCTTATACACCAGTCATTCTGACTGGTTTTTGTAAAAATAGGTATATTTAAATAGCTGGTAAATCTAGTGTTAAGTACCGTATAGAGTTCGTTGGTGTATAACTGGGTCCCATTCCTAAAATATGTTACTCGTGTATTCTCAAAAGCACTAGATACGAGAAAAACTAGTAATTGATAGTTTAAAAATTAATTTGTTGAGAATTCACTTTACAACCTTATTTCTTCCGATCTATGTTATTGACGTATAATACCACGAGGTAACGATGACAATTTATATGATAAAACTTAAATGTACAGGATAAAAACAAAAACCTGAACATTTTATTTTCATACTAGAAGAAATATTAACTGGTAAAGTACACAAAATGTAATTACAGAAACTAAAGTTACTGAAATTTTAAATGTGATCCAAAGTCTCATCCTGATACGAATTAGGTTTAAAAAGTTGATATTTACTACTCAAGAGTTGTAACAACAAAAGAAATATATAGTATATGTATTTTTTTTTTTTTTTATTATATATATGTATATATATTATATATATTTGCGGTTACCTAAAATATCAGTATACAAAATAAGCTTTGTAATTTATACCAAGATAGTCAGCATCAGCCTCAGACTATAGTAATTTACTGAATTTCTCAACAGAAATGAATCGGCACCATTATGCTGTCTTCATTCGAAATTGCCGCTTGATTCTTCTTCTACGAAGAGATTTTTCGGAAGGTGATCCAAATATTTTTCGACCGGCGGAATGGCGATGGAAGTTGGCTCAGGTGTGCGACGATCGTTGGCACCACTATGCTGTTCAGGTTGACTTTCCCAAGGTAACCCTTTATGTTGATGGTGAAGAATGGCGAACGGATGAGAAGAATCCGGAAGTTATAGACGATTGGCCACTTCACCCTGCAAAAGGAGTCAATACTACTTTAACAGTTGGAGCCTGCTGGCAAGGTAATATTATTATTATAATACAATATGGCCAATGTCATTTACAGATTCAGACAATTTTCCCTAGATCGTAATTGATAAACAGATGGTCTTTCAACACGGTCATAATTAATACTGAAGTAGTAATTACAATATTTAAAAATTTTGATTATCATTATATCATCGTCGATCATATATGTGAACCAAAAAGGGGTCGTTACATCTTTTTCCTATCTAACATATGCCAGAAAAAAAAAATTAATTTCAATAATTGACAAATGTAGTAATACATTTTGTTTGAATTTCATTGTATTACATTAATAATAATATAGTATAGTGGGATAAATCAGTGTAGGCGGATTATACGTCAACTACTAAAAGGAATATGAATTATGGAAAATAATCGAACTTAAACCGTTTCTGGGATATTATTCAATTTTACCTAATATCTTTTTTATAACTTATAAGAGAACAACCATAACAACGCAGATTGTTCCTCAGAATCATCTGAAGTTAATAAATTTCGTTTTATTATATGTGTTGCTGATTCGCATGGCAAAACCATCAATATTCCAACGTATTGAATTGAAAACAATGGATCATTTTAAACGTATTTATTAATACCTTAAAATAGGTGATATAAACGGTCATTGTTTTATATCTGTCAACAGGTTCTGACAATAAAACAAAGCATCACTTTCGCGGCTACTTAGCAGGTCTCTCAGTGTTGATAGGGCGAAATGAAAAACCCGAAGTACTCTCCTGTCTTCGTCGCTGCCAAGAAGGTCTCCATGTTCCATCGATGGATCTCCTCCAGCCAGGAACGCAGTTACTGACCAACTCAGAATTATCTGAAGTACGAATTGACGGAGATAACCGAACAAATGTGGAAATGCTTCTTCGCAGAGTTGGTTATTCCAATTCCCGTCGATTCCCAACACCGGGTAGAAGAAACTTTAGACTAGATACGACTATTATTTGCGAAGGCAAAGAAGCACGTCCATTAGCCGTACCTGCAATCCAATCGTACATCACCGTCCTGCCGCCACCTCGGCCAGGAATTGCTGTTAATGGAACCGGATACGTAGCTCGAGAATACGTAGACTTTCGTTTAGGTGTAAGGGTATTCCCAGATGCAAAAGTAACAGCAGGTTCTGCAGCAAGATTGGATGCTTGTGCTGTCAGTGTTTTCCCTAGTTTAAATCCAGATCATGAGAGTTTGGGATTATCGGGTGATGCCTTATTACGATTACATTCAGTTACTGCTCGAATTGATCGTGATGGTGTAGTGCTTTCCGGTGCTGATACACCATACAATTATCAGCAACTTATTCGTTTAATTACCTACACAAATCGCAAGCCCGCTTACTATCTGGATAGAGTTTTCAAACTCACTTGCTCTGAATTAAGCGGTCGTTTTGCTAGTAACGAGTACATACAGACATTGGCTGTGATTCATCCAAAAGAAAAGAGCAGCCCTCCTTCTACACCTTCAGAACCACCAATCGCCCGTATTCTTGAGCCGGCACCTGGTCACGTCCAGCTTTCACCACACCACGCTCAACTTCCCGAAGAATATGCGACCACTGCACTTCGTGACAACTCTCGAGTTTCAAGTGGAAGTCATGCTGTTACTATTGTAGCCGCTACTTGCGTAGGATTTTTACTCCTTATGGCTGTGCTTGGCGCCGCTAGAATTCGTGGAGCAGCTAAACGACGTAGATCAGCTGGTGATGAATTGGCTGCTGAGACTGAAATGGCTTGGGATGATTCGGCTTTGGCCATTACTGTCAACCCTATGGATAGGCTTGCTGACCAACAGGACCCCCACAGGTTAGTTTTTATATTAAGGCTGCTATTCAATCAGTTCTAGTAGAGAGATCTAATTCAATTACAATATGATGATTTTCGAAGTGAGAAAAGCTTTTGCACCACTAGTTTCTTACAATTGTTATTTTATACTGAATTGTTCGTCATGGCACATTCCTCACGCAGGATGGTAACTAAGGTTTAGACATTATAGAGTTTTCCATTTGAACAATAAAAGAGGGAGTAGTTTCTTAGTAGTCAATTTACGTCAATTGTCAGTAGGACGCATCAACACCATTTTCTTTAAATTAGCCTTATAGTGTACTTACATGGATTTATTGTTTATTTTATAAGAAATTACGGATGGGCAATATCTTCGTAAAGTTGTAGAAGATAGAATCGTATGACGATCTTTAGTTCCCTCAATTTGGATATCATCGCGTCCCATCTGAGTGCTATATTTTTAGTTATCATAGCTGACGAAATACGAAATACTTTAATACTCTAACTCGCGAATAAGCGTGCGATTTTCGGCATAAATAGTGGCTCGGGGTGATTTTATATCTGGTTCCTTATTCGTTTTTATAAATAATATACTGCATTTAATTGATTACCTTATAGGAGGGAAATGTAGAGACACGTAACTATTTATAATTATTTAATACACATGTTATATTATGAAGCCATTCTTTGTGAGCTCAGGGGTTTACTGTTGCTCAGAATGGAGAAACAACATCATAGAGATAGCATTTCCATTCCAGAATAGAATTGACGAATTTAAAAATGTAGCAACTAATTAGTAAGTAAAGAGTAATCTAATATTCAGGCCTTATTGTATCGTTTATCTATTTTTTATATCTGGCTGTGGTAACTTGAATTGTACTGTGGCACAGACACTACTTCCGGTTAAACGGTTCATGCAACAAAATTGAGAACAGAGCAACTAAAGAGCACTAAATTATTATGCTCATTTTAAATGATTGTACAGAAATGGCTGTGTCAACCTTATACACGTATAGCTTTTCTTTACTTAGTTCTCCGTAGCTTTTTATTAATACTATACAGCAATCAAATTTAGTTTCTAGCAATTAAATTGTATGTACATTTATAGCCGTCCTACATTAATACATACATTAATTTTCCGTTTAAGTTTTGCCATTTTCGCCTTAGATTACGCATGGAAAGGCTGACTTTTTTCTCACCTGGCGCGCCCCGTCGCTTATATTCATCATCGATGTGGCATTATTTTTAAGAATCCCTTGGACCGTATTAAAATTTTAGAAAGTTTTTAATACCAATTACACCTATATGTGGATTGTGGAATTAAGAAATATATTTAAACTTACTTCACGATGCAGCAGATAAAAAAATATCGTGCGTCTGTATATTAACCAATTTTGTTTGTTGCAGTAACGGACAGAGAGATGAAGATGTGGATGATTCCGGAAGTTCGGACTCTGATGATGGTTCATTTAGAGATGACGAGTTAGACAGCACTGACTGCGAAAATGACTGTGAACTCGTTACAGGGCACCATCGCCATAGCTCGCCCCGTGATTTGGAGTGGGACCATCGTGACGTTTAAATCCCTTACTTCTAAGATTTCTTGTCGCAGGTTCGCTTTGGTTTTATACTACCATTATATATACATTACTCTCTCGCTTCTCGGTTCTTTTGACCGTATGACTAACCGACGCTTGTCCTTCGCAATTCTTTCAAGTATATTTTACGTTGGCCTCGACGGTACCTGCGCAGCAATCTCTTAGCACCGTAAGAATAGCTCTATCCTATTATAGTAATGTAGCAGCTAAACAAAGCACGAAGTTAAAGTAATTTTGATCAGCATTTTCTTGATACAGGGTGTCTTAAAAGTCCTTACACGTTATACTCCAGGACATATTAAGTCATAACTTGTATATATTTATTTCAAGCACAAATAAGTTCTTCTTTACATCGCTTGTATTCGATTATGTTATCGTTTTCTTCGTAATTGTGGTCGATTGATATTTTATTACATTTTGATTAAAAATATTATGAACAAAAACAATATACATATTTCATAGATACATTTTTGACATATATAATATTTAAATACTTTTTTTTTTGTGACGTTCTATTTTTCACGTGACTTTATTTTACCATTTATTTAATGAATATAATAATTTCAAAACTGAATGTATACCGTGCAAAGTATTTTTATTACATTCATTCGTTTACTTTTTTATATTCTAATCAATTGAACTAGGTTATATGTTTAACACACTTTCCTAAAGTAACATATGATTAAAGCAAATTATGAACATATTAATTTGAATGTAATGCTTAATAACTTTTACATTTTATTTTTACTGTATTTGTATTTGCTTATTTTAATTCCGTTTAGAATCATTATAAAGCAATGAACTAGTGTAAAGAATACCGTTACTTTTTAGCACCACACAGTTTATATTTAAATAAATGGATCGAAATGTTAACTACATTTATTAATCAAAATTTTAATTATAAAATAGTTAATAAAAAAACTTGATGAAGAACTTAGCGATTTCTATTACAGTGAATTAATCCAATCTTTGCGTAAGTTAAGTAGACCGATCAAACTAAATATTTTGAAAATAAGGACTCTTCTGACACTCTGTACAATGAATTTAACGGTGTACTTTTAATGTACACAGCGAACCGATCTTCGCAAAGCACGGACATCTACTACTCACTGATAGGTACTATGAGACAATTTATTTTTCCAACGTGCATATCATATCGTTTTATAAAGCGGGAATGGATTTTCTTTTATCAGTCTCTCACTTCCTCCTATTTCAAATCTGGTTTTGTTCTTCCTTTATTTTTGCCATAAACAATCTTACACATTATATATTACATACTCTCGGCATCTTTCCTTTTCATAAATCCTTCCAAGTAAAGTAAGTAGCGGCATCATTGTAGCATATTAAGAGGACATTAAAAATAATATAATGTCTCAACTAACGCGAAGCTGTATGTTATATTTAATATGTCATAATGATATCTTTACTTAGTTCATTACCAAGGCATTAATCTTCCTTTCTTTTTTCATGAAATATATCTACGCACCTAATGTCCCTCTATCTTATGCTACTTAATAAAGTTCAGTGGATTTGAAAAAAAAGTTATACAACCATGAAGAAGACGGCGTTGCGGCTACGAACTAGATTAGGTGAATGCACCAGCGTCAATTGCCCGATCCCGAAGTGTTAAATGATTTTAAGTGTCCAGTTACATTAGTAGCGATACAAGTATTCTGCGAAAAATTTGTGGTAATATTAAAATACGAACGGCTAACTGTACTTAAGTGTCTTGTTATCTCCTTAAATAATGAAGTTTAATATCCTAATCAATACGTTATGGGTGAAAACTCATTTGTATGCATTTAATACTTAAAATATTTATTGTTCTTTTGCCATTTATCTTTGTACATTGTGCGTAGGTTTCATGAAAAAAAAAAAAACAAATAGAACATTATCGTAATCTTTATGCTTTCATATAATTACTTTTGATATATCATTATCATTTTCGAGTTGCAAATGTTGTAGGCTGATTTATCCAGTTGATTCAAACTGTTCAGTAATCATATTTTACTTCAATCATTTAATTATCTTTTTTGAAAGCATAAAGTACGTAGTATTGTTACATATTATACATATGCTTACTATGCATAAATTACACTTTGATAAAAAAAATAAAAGGCTAAAAAATGTACCACTGAGAAAACTTTTATGTTTCAATCAAGCCCGGTACGTATTTTTCTATAGAACGCGATTCTTCTAGTACATACTACAGTATATTGTAATAAAATTGTAACTTTTATGAAAAATGCAGTCCCTGCTTGTGATATTATTACAGTAGTAAGTAACACTAAATCGCTATTCTTTAATTAAAAACATGCACTCTATATATAAATATCACAAATTTATTATGTATAAACGAATTCTTTGGTCTAATTCTAGAACAATTTTATTTATTGCTAATCAGTGATGATGTTTTTAATACGTTGCCGGTAATTTAACGACGAATGCTAGAAGTAATGAAAATAGGAATTCTAATATACAATTGGCAGTTTTTTATGTATGAACCGCCAATTGTTCCATTAATTTCTCTTAACAAAATTCAATGATCTTGCTTATATTGTACGAATTAGTATTGATATTACTCACCATTGAGTTTCTATTGTAAGAAAATCCTGGTCGTCTAATTTTAAAATCTTCGCTTCGGGATCGGTCAGTTTCAATCTTGTACTTAAACTAGAAAGAAACTACAATAAAACAAATTTAATATATTCGAACATGTGCGAATAAACAGAGATATACACATTCGGGTACAGTATGAAACAACGGGGGTGATGAGCGCGGCAGTTTTTTAATCTGAAATGCATATATCATAATTAAATATTAAAATAGAAAAAAAATTGTTTGGAGTTTTCAATTTTGCAGATTACTTTTTTTTTCTAAAACTTTTGAAGATATTACATTAGGACTTTGATTATTTGGAAAGCAATATATTTTCGTACATTGATATAATATAATTTATTAGAAGTTTTATTTTATTTACTTATTTCATAAGCTATATAATCAGACTATATTGTTTCGTTTTAACAAATATCAACTTGTAGTTAATTGAAGCATATCTTTCGCACACAAGTTCGGTCATTTTAGAAAAATAAATATCAAGCTCTTCACAATCTATATAATTCATCAATTAATAGAATAAAACGGTCATTAATATTGGTTGTATGTTTGAAGATTTTCAAAATGATATCATTGATTTTGAGAATGCACCAAAGATATGGATTATTGGTCGTTACTTATTTCACTACATCGCTGAATTGTAAGGGCATGAACGATTCGTGTAGATTAATTATTTATTGTTTTATCTCGCTATTTTGACTCGAAAACGAAATGTATACTTGTATATAAATGATTAACGCATTTAGAATAGCACCGACAACAGAGTTCATCACAGAAATGTGATATTTCCAGTGAATAACTATAAAATCATCTAACTTCGATAAATATGTTATATCCGTTACAAAAATGATTTTCATTGTATTTCAACACTATCTTTTGTTATTAAAAATTATGTCTTCGTGAATCTTGAGTCTTGAAAGAAGAGAATGAATCATTACTCTCATTGTCACATCCTGTACATACAGAGTGATTTGCAAACCTCGTTTTACGAAACATTCCCATCAGTTGTTCACCTTTAAAAATTTATATTACAAAGCATGATAGATCTTGACGAATGAAATATTTATGTGAGCGATTCCATCAGACTTCAACCACCACCCGTCTTTTATTTGCTGTGCTACGTGGATTCGGTCGTTTTTATTTCAAATACAGATATCTCGGAGTCGGTGCATCGTATCGTAAAAACGAAAGTTTTGGTTTTTAGTATCTACAATAAAAAAATTTTTTTTAATTTTTTGAGTAATCTAAACTTGTTTCAAGAAAAGAAATACACGAAATTTTGTTTCCTGACCAAAGCCCCATCGATATCGGTGTTACGGAATTTTTTTAATATTCTGTAGACCGAATATGATCTTTGTGCAAAATTACAAATCGGGACATCCTGCCGTTTTTTAGTCACAGATTTTTTTAATTTATAAGAACTAATTTTTGGTTTTTCTGATTAAATTATCTCTCTGCATTTTTCAGGGTTGAGACTGTCTTTAGGGTTATAAACTTAAAGCTCGCATTACTTTTTTTTTAATTTATTAGAATTTATTTATTTTTGTTTAAGATTTTTAACAAAAATTAGTGTTCTTATAAATTAAAAAAAAATGATGACTAAAAGTGGCCGGATGTCCCAATTTGTAATTTTGCACAAAATTCACATTCTGTTTACAGAATATTAAAAAAATTCCGTAACACCGATATCGATGGAACTTAGGTCAGGAAAAAAACATTTTGTGTATTTGTTTTTTTTTTAAACTGGTTTAGATTACTCAAAATTTTTTTTCCTTTTTTTTTATTGTAGATACTAAAAAAACACAAAACTTCCATTTTTTAAATAATTTTTTAATACGATGCACCGTCTCCGGGATATCTGTGTTCAAAATAAAAACGACCGAATCCACGTAGTACAGGAAATAAAATACGGGTGGCTGAAGTCTGATGGAATTGCTCACCTATATTTTTTTTATATTAACAATAGTGTTTCTTCGTATTAAATAATTGTTTAACATGTGTCGCTGATCTTGTAGACAGAATATAAAATACTATGACTATCTTCCCTCTTAAAATCATAGTTATGAACAAAACTTTGAACATCTCCAAAATTCTTAAAAGTTATTTCATTGATTTTTTTAATCACTCTGTATACACAACATACATATACACTACATACACATAGTCGATCAACGATAAGAATGTAAGATGTAGCGGACTTTTACACTGAAAGTTAAAAGCAAATTGCTCCTCTTCGAATCCTCTAAACATATTTTTATTGTGGATGAGCGGCAATACGAGAGAGCAGATGTAATACCGTACGTGCTTTTAGGCAATCAATTATCGGAGATGAAGAGGTACTAATATAACTTTGTAATGACACTACATATTGCTTTTACATGCTTCGGATATATTATCTTAACGTTACTAACGGCAATTATTTATAATTCGTTAACAGCTATTGAATATAATGGTATGGTATGGTAATGGTTAAAGGTATAATTAATCTTTTTGCTTCAATGCTGTATCAAAAATAATAAACAGTTCGGAAATGGAATAAATATTGAAGAATATTGACTTTTTTTCTGTGTAACACAAAATATTAGAATGGCTACTCTAAGTTTAAACTAAAGTAAATATGCCTAATCTGTAAGAATCAATTTCCTTCCGGAAAATTATTCGAGGAATATGTGCAAACTTCATATAAGTAAACTTACAGATGACGCAATGGGATTTGATGAATATACTTCTTGTCAAGTAATCGTTTACAATTAAAATGACTTTAGCGTTTGTGAAAGTAATAAAATATACATATATGTATACATTGATTTTGAAAAAGTTGAGGAGCAATAATAAATTTGTATGCAGAGACGTCAACAGAAGAATGCGAAAGTAATATATAAGTAGTATCGCTTTTCGTATGGTATTACAGGTGCTTATTGTGTGATTCATAGAAACCCAGGCGAGTTTTTTTTCTTGGTACACAGAATGCACGTATCTCCTCATTCGCAAAATGAAGCTAGAAAAAAATCTGGAAAAAAAATCTTTCGAAGAAGGGACAATGAATTTGTAATGTACTATTATATTGTGTAGGCAGCTAATATATGATATATATAAATATATATTATAATTATATAAATATGTACCCAGTCATCCAACGGTTTACTCTATACCACTTACTCGCACAAGTAACAAAGAGTAAAGTACCAATAAACTATCTTCATAATTACCGACAATTTATGAAAACTGATGGATCGTACATAATTCGATCGGTAATTGAAGTAATTAGCCGAGTAAAAAAAGGATTCCCTCCCACGTCGCAAATTGTGTGTTAACTAATAAGATTAAATAACGTTCTAGTACTATTAAGGAATTAATTATTATTACCGATTACGAATAAATTGGTGAACAAATCGCATGGAGATACGTTTTCGGACTGGTCCGAAGTGCTAACGATTGTGCATGGAAAATTTGTGGGATAATTTATGAAGTAATATTTATGGTTAAAAATACACATACACAACACGCGCGCGCCTGCGTTTATGCACACGCACACTCATACGCGCCTACACTAAAGCAGATCATACACACCTTAGGATCATGTATTGTCTGGCGACGTATTATTATATACATATATATCATACATATATGTAATAAATATTATAATGTGAACTGTATTTGTTTAATAAAGATGTACATTCGGACTAGGACTCTAATTATTTATATTTGACGGCGCGTCGGGTTAACGGCGTTGAGGCCGTGTTATCATTCTTTTGTATTTTCTTTAGTAGATACACACCATTCCTGGCCGTCACAACAAACCTCCACCACTGCCCCTATGAGTCATAGAGTACATCGCGTTGGGTCCCCCCGCGCTGCACTATGGCGCCACCTCCTCGTCAATGTGTCCGGGTCTTCAAACGTCGCCCCAGGTAATCCTCCTGCCCCCTCCCCCATGTGTGGCCCCCATCATGCGGTCCTAAGGCCCGAAACCCTGCAGCGTCGCTGCATGTCCCCAAGGGCCTATCACGGTCGGTAATTATGCAGTGACCCCCGATCGGTAACTTTTTTAATTACCCTAAGGAGGTAACATGATAAAGTAGAACACAGTTGTTTTTTGTAAGTAATACCTTATAATATAGAGGTATCGTATGCATTGCCGTTTATTTTTCGATACTTTTAACTATCGATGGGTGGATATTCAACCCCTAATATTTTACTCGGGATGAACCCTCCACATACAACGTAGCTGTTGCTGGAATGCCTGGTACCCCTCTTTTGCTCAATCTAGCGAACGATGCGCAAATACGGCTGGCGTGGGGGTACCACTGTCTTGACCAACCCTATGAAATCCCGGCCTGCGTAAACCCCTACTACATGTATGTACCTTTTATTTGCAACTATAAAAAAATGTATGGTCATGGTGGGGAAAAAGATGGTGACCCGTGAACCATCTTCGCAGCATCTTGTCAATACAGTGACGACAAGTAATAGAAGCAAGGTAAATTAAAGAAAAAAGAGTAAGTGAAAGTGGAAAAGTGAAGTTTAAAAAAAAAGTGGTATGTATAACTGCGTTAAGCTGAATCTGGTACCCTCTTTTTATCTGATTAAAAAGAACTATATCCGGTATCTTTTACTTTTTATTTATAGAGAAGTAATCGAACTGATTGACGAGCACACCTGTTTTTGCAGGACATTAAAAAAAAAGAAAGTGGTAGGTATAGCAGCTTTAAGCTAGTACCCGTTTTTTTTTTATTTGATTAAAAAAGTATTGCCTTTCTATCGCCTCTCGCACTTATTTGTAGACATTGACCAGTAGCAGCAGCAGCAGTAGCAGCACCGCAGCTAACGGCGTAATACAGACGGGCCCTGCTATTGGAGCGGTAGGTGTTATAATTTTAAGACCATACGTTTCTTTAAAATTTTTTTATTTAAAACATTATGACACTTTTAATACACCCCATCGCCCAGGCCGGACAACTTGTTTTTCGAGGCCCTACATAACGGCCTCTGTCTACACGGATATACAGGGTGTTCCGAAACTACCTGACCCGGTGGGTATGGCGGTGTTCAGGAGGCTTCACTGATTACGAAAATGACCTTCTATTTGTCCGGAAGCTCTTAGTTTTTAAATGGGAGCAGGTCAAAGTTGACCAATCAGAACGAGGCGTCGGAAAATCAGAAATGTAGGCACCTACGAACTCTGAGTTTTCTTCCCTCGCTTTTGTTTCTCGGTGGCTTCGGGCAGGATGACGTCAGCCGAAGACGTGCCTATTGGAAACAAGAAACAAGCCACCGAGAAACAAAAGCGAGGGAAGAAAACTCAGAGTTCGTAGGTGCCTACATTTCTGATTTTCCGACGCCTCGTTCTGATTGGTCAACTTTGACCTGCTCCCATTTAAAAACTAAGAGCTTCCGGACAAAAAGAAGGTCATTTTCGTGATCAGTGAAGCCTCCCGAACAAAGCCATACCCACCGGGTCAGGTAGTTTCGGAACACCCTGTATATACGCACACAGGGATGAGGAACTATGCATTGAGTGCGTGCTCGCACTACCCGCGCATGATCAGGCTGCATACACGCCCCATAGCATCCATTACTTACTGCGGGATACCATGATGGTATTTAATGTGGGGCGTCGTACAACTTGTGCGCGGAGCGTGTTTCGCGAGCACGCACCTGGTGGATGCCCTGGCTGTGTGCTGTTTTACGCGGGGCACAGGGACTCCCTGGTACGCTACGGCTACGGGGAGGTTGTACTGACGTGAAAAAAAAAACTAGACATATACGTTTTTTTACTTACATACTAACACTACATTTATTAGTATTATTATACGTTTTTTACTTACATACTTATTATTATATTATTGCTTAGAACCTATTATTAAACTTACTGGCTGTTCATATATTAATATAATAGTATTGGTGTAATAATAATATATTAGTGAATAAAATTAAAATAATGTATAATAATAATAATAATAGGTTATAAATTAAAATAGTAATAATGATAATAACAATACGATATAAGCAATAATAAGTATATACAGCGTGTTCGTTATGAAACGCACTGTAGTAACATCATTGCATTCCTTGTCAAATTCTAAAAAATACGTGTATTTTCATTTCTCATTTCATATACCAAAATTTTGAGATAATCAAGGTTGAAGTTGCAGTAATGCGACCAATCAGAACGCGTTTAAACGGAACGTAGATGACGTCGCGAGCCAGCCCACAAGGCCTGCTTACACAAGGCCGATAACATTAAGAGTATCGTCTCTTGTATCTTACTCAATTACATGCAGATAAACAGGGACACTACGACGATACTCTTAGTGTTATTGGCCTAGTGTAAGCAGGTCTTGCGAGCTGGCTCGCGACGTCATCTACGCTCCGTTTAAACGCGTTCTGATTGGTCGCATTACTGCAACTTCAACCTTGATTATCTCAAAATTTTGGTATATGAAATGAGAAATGAAAATACACGTATTTTTTAGAATTTGACAAGGAATGCAATGATGTTACTACAGTGCGTTTCATAACGAACACGCTGTATATACTTATTATTGCTTATATCGTATTGTTATTATCATTATTACTATTTTAATTTATAACCTATTATTATTATTATTATACATTATTTTAATTTTATTCACTAATATATTATTATTACACCAATACTATTATATTAATATATGTAAGAAAAACATCCTTAGTACTATTGAATTTAGCGCTCGATTTTAGTCGATAAGTCAGATCTCCTAGGGTACTTGGCGTGAGTACGGCGATGTAAGCCACGAGGTGCGAATGTGAAACCAGCCAGTTAGTCATGAGGCTTACTCGTGAAAGTTAGTCTAAAAACAAAGCTGTGATTAATAACATTGAACGTTGTTTCTTTGTTATTACAGGTAGGATTACGAACTAGTATAAATTGTTATATTATATTTTGTTTAAAATAAAAAATCTTTGTTATTACAGAGAAACAATTCTACTTGTTATTCACGAACAACTTATAAAAATAGATAGTTCATTATATATATACAGCTTATAATAAAAAAATTTGCAACATTATATCTTTAATTTATATAATTAAATGCACAGACCGCTCACCTTTTCATGAAACAGGTCTTAACTCGTGTAGCCTGATTTACACCGTGAATATTGTACCCTACCACCACCACCACCACCGTAGATCTTATTATCTTCCGCATACCGGCAATCCGCCAAACGTTTCTTACGCACGAAAGCGTCGTAATACTCTCTGACGACTCTATCGTTTTTTTCCCAAATCACCATTAAACACATTCTGGAACGCATGCATCTCGAAGCCGCAGGAGATTTAGTGTAAAAACATCATGCAGAATTGGCCGCACACCGTCGACGTCTCGCTCTAAAGCTGCTGAGTATTTCATTGGAAGGATCGACAGTTACGTCGGAGTCTCGATGCACGGTGATGATTCAGCGGTGGTAATTCGTAGCTGTCAAAGTAGTAGCCGTCTCCGTCAGCATCCACGTACATGGCAACCCAATGCGCTCCTGGCTTCGTATGATCGTCCGCGTTGGTGACATTGGTAGCGGGCTTCGACCAGTTTCGAGGTATTCTATCGGGTGCGTACTCACCCGTCGTATGAGCCGATATACCGCGAAGACCGAGGTAAAGGTCTAGCGTGTTCATATATGCGGTCCGTTATTCCGAAACCAAAATTCAAGGCGTAAGGCGTTGTTCAGAACACAGGTAAACGATCCTCGGGTTTCCTAGGCGTGAACGATGCACTCGTAATGGTCACGATTCGGTGGGAAGTCCTC